CTTACTTTTGAGCGAAAACAGAGCTTCGTTGTGCTTAGGAACATTTGGCTATATAAATATATTGAATTAAAAGTAAAAACAAATATGCCATATGTTAGATTATGATTATAAAATAGCACATGTATTATGTTCTTAAGCAATTGCCTCTGGTGGGATTGCTTTCAAAGGGGTACATAAATCTTGGTAACACTGAAGTTTATGATACCACAGACAATTGAAATGCATCGGCTTACGTGCAACTTCTATGTATTACATAAATAACATCTTAAGCCTCATCTTTTCAGTGGTTTGCCGTCTCTTTTTTGGAGCAACTTGCAGCACTAACCAGTGCACGCCTTCGAATAGCGCACTTGCCGCTTTTCTGGGCACCAATAACCAGCAGGTTTGCTATTGCTGCAGGGCTTCCCTTCCTGGCCTAGGCTAGGTGAGAACAAGAAGAAACTATTTTCTCCGTGCGTCTTGAGTCTGTTCATTCATGTGAACACATTGTGTACGCATTGCTTAGGATATTAAACACAAAATGTGCATGTATGTGTGCACGCGCATGTGCACGAGTGTGTGTTATATAAAGTTGATTGCCACAGCCGAAATCACCGAAATCATTTCTTAAATTAATAATACTTAAGAATACTGCGGGTGTTGTATTGACTGTAGTAGAAAGGACATAAATACATAAATGATAAAGAAGTTTCTTTTTCCGTGTATCAAGTATTCCCATATTTTACATTCATTTATATTTCTAATTAGTATGTGCTTTAATTTTATAATGTGTAACTAGTGATTTTAATTCATTATGTTTATCTTACTTCGTGTTCTTTAATAGGGATAGTATGCAATTGTGCTTTTAAAGAACTCTTTATTGTTACGTATTTGTGATTGTAAGAAATTTCTTTTCATTTATTTTTACTTATTTTAGCACTGTTGAAACGCCATTGAACCATGAACACTGAACGTACCGCTCTTTCTCAAAAATACACCATATTTTATTACCTTTCAGACAAATCGAAGCAACGAAAAAAGAAGAACAAGCGTCCAAGTTTATATCATGTTCGGAATAACCAAAATCAAATTCTTCCTTTAGCTACACTTTGAGACTAAATGCTATATTCCGTAATGGCGATGACAAAGGCACGTTTTCATTGCCACTCTTGTATTTTTTGGGCTGAACTGCCAAATTTATATGGTATATAATGTTACAAAGGCAAGAATGTCGTCTCCCTTTCTTACGAAAAAGTTCTAGAAAACGTATATGAAATGCCAATAATGTTCTAGTAATGTGAACATCAATACATCAAAGATTGTCATAAATTTTACTTGTTCTTTGAAATGCACCAATAAATTGCTTTGCAAAACCAAACTATCGCCGTTTACATTGTTTTGTGTTTAAACTTATAATATCAAAATAAACATAAATACTTACAAATTCTAAGACATCCCAGTCAGACAGCCTTCGTCCAATTTGCCGTAAAAAAACTTCACTGCTGTTTTCCCTGTTTACAATTACCATCTTTATGCCCCTCAAATCATCAACTTGTTTTTTTTATTTCATTTCCTTCTAGAAATAGATTTCCAAAAAGACAATGGGCATTTCTGATTATATCCGACGTATTTAAAGAATGCGTATTGAATTTCATTCTACCAAATGGAAAAGATTATAGGAGCGTTCAGTCTTTAATTAAAACGTAATCTAAACACACTGTAATCGACTACAGTATTCAATTATTTTAATATCAGAAGAAATAATTGAATGGATAATCTTTAAAAATATATGATATTTTAAAGAAAATTGAAAAAAAGCGACCAATTTTACATTTAATACTGAACCTTAAAATTAGACATATACTATGCCTTATTGAAATATAACTAATGTAATTAAAATAATCTTAATATTTTAAATGAAAAGTGTACAAAACATATTTTTATGGGTTTTATACTCCAAATAAAAATATTAGTGTTCAGTGTTCATTATATTCGACAATCCAGTCATAACCTTGGTTGCCGTTAGTGGGTAAAAATTGTCGGACCCACAGATTGGTGCTTTGCATAATGCTAATAGATAAATCTGTGCTTACTTAAATTTTCCACGCTCATTCTATTGGTGGGGAAGTTCTTCGGGTTATAAGTCAGCTTTCCACTAGTGCACCTTCACGTTTTGCGGAAATGTTGATTTTCCTGTTTATTGATAAAGAAGAAGTATGAGGTAAACATATATATATATATATATATATATATATATATATATATATATATATATATATATACATGAAAAACTACTCTCCATCGTTGCATATGTACGCTTTGCTAAAATGTTGATGTTTCTGTTTCCTGTTTTCTTTTTTCGTTTTTTTTAATAAAAAAGAACTCCATTGTAAACATAAATACATCAAAAAAAAAAGGGCGCATAGAACAAAATGAAAAACGTACAATAAAGTAAAAAAAGTAAAAAAAAAAAAAAAAACAATGTTAAAAGAGATGAGCACTAACAAATTATGACAATTAAGGAAAAACTGCAAGTCAGCTCCATGTAATTAGATGTCATTCAGAGCTGTGCACTCATGCACTAATGACCCGCTAGTTGCTGAAGATGACGTGTCTTTTGGTCAATTTGATTGCATTCAGCAAGAGTTCCCGCGGAGTTGGATCAATCTATGTAGAACGATAGTTTCAATGGGAATAAGCCCTTGGACATTGGCAATTGCCCTTCATCAACGTTACTTTGATCTGGATACTGGGTGACAGATTCTTTGCTTCATCAAAATTTGAGCTTAAAAAAACAAAAACAAAACGTCTCAAATACAGTTGCATACAACTTCGAGTGCTTCCGACTTCAGGTATAATTTCATATTTTCAAACTTTTCCTGCAGCACTATTGTTTGTTAACATACCTTTTGCCTCCTGCTCTTAGAGAAACTACACTTTTCGTGATATCACAAGAATTGTAACAGGACCAGACTTTTTAAACACTTTCAATCCCGACACCACACTTTGCCTCGCCTATCTTGTTTAGATATAAACACACAATCCCGTAGAATGCCATTGGGTCCTCGTGTGTCTCAAAATAGCTGACATATGTAATTGGATATTTGTTGGCTGTTACATGATGTATGTGTACCCCCTCTGTCCAAAATTTCATCCTGTGTCAAGTTGGGGGTGTGAAAGATGGGAAAAAAGTGCCTTGTCATCAATATTTTCAACCCTTGCAAATTAATGCTGCATGGGGAATAAAAGGCCAAACGATATTGTGATAGAGGTGAAGAAGTTTTAGAAAATTATTGTACCCAGTATTTTATGATATTCAAGATGGATAAGAGTTGAGAAAAAAAGTTTATTTTAATGATTTTCCCCGTTTTCATTCAGCTGACAAGGCCTTGAAGAGAGGTGTTTTTCATATAGTTGTATGTCAGGGCCAATTCAGTCCGTCTGGCTGCTGTATACTTCAAATAAATATTACAACTTCATATTAACACGAGTAAATAATGAGCATTGTATATATTTACATCAATTATTCTGTTGTCTGACGAATCCGCCATTATCATTCATGTACAGTATTTGGTTGCTAAGAACTTTGAAAATATTTAACTTCGCGTAAACCTTGGACTTAGATAAAAGTCTGTGTACCGGTCCCCGACCGGTGTAAACGGCAGACACGTCCGCCCGCTTCCTTAGGAATAGTAGTCCTAATGGGACCTGTATTCCTGACGTTAAAATGGATAGGATTTCTATTACTGACGGTCCTGCATTCCGTTTATCTAGGACTTGCATTCCCAGGCGTTACTAGGACTACCATTCCTTCCACACCGGCAGTGGCTTCAAACTATTCACAGTGCTGCAACGCTGAGTCCGACACTAATATCACTGTGTATTACATGTAATCTCCGTTCCAACGTAAGATCCAGTATAAGATGTAATTTTTTATTATCTCAGTATAATATAACTGGATGAATCAAAATTTCACTTTGATACCTAGTTGTTAAGATTTAAATGAAACATGTAGACACTGTTTTTTTCTTTCTTTTTTCTTTTTTTTTTTTTAAGAAAACGATAGTAGTAAGGCCAATACTAGTATCAGTTGTTTACAAGGGATTGCCGAGAAAAAGCGTCAGTGATAATGAAAACATCAAAACAATACACAAATTATATCAAATATGCTAGTATACACAAATATACTGGTGGATAACGTGCTTAATGAAACAAACGTACAAAAAGACCAAAAAAAAGACTTACATGTGTACAACGTTGTCCTATCCTGCATTTTTTTACGAGCATCAATCTAGCCTGGGCCACAAGTTCATGAATACTGGAACTGGATTTGATGAACGTTGGCGGTGTACTATATATAAGGCACAAACAAGTGCGTTATCTCCTGATCATGGGGTTACGAACTTACCAAATGATGCATTTTAATTTTTCACTATAAATTAACTGTATGGTGTAATTTTAGTGTTGCGGTTATAATGTCTATATTCAATTTTACGATTTGTTCTGGTCACGTAAGATAGCTAACAGTATTTTCAGTGAAAATGATAGGTGTACCTTTCCTAAATATAGTGCTTGGTTCATAATGAAGAGTCTTATTCGAAAATATTTTAAATGTCCATTGTGTAAATTTCTTAATTTATTTTTCTTATTTTTTGTCCTTTGGCATAAATGTCGCATTTAAATCCGCACGATGCGACACGGGTTTACTTATAAGGATTCATAAGTATCTGTTAGGAAAAAATTGATCATATGGGTATGTTCGGCAACAAGCGTGTTTTCTACTTAGAAGAATTAACCAACCACTTAATAGCATCGCTAATGATAACCTATAACAAATCACCTTTTGGCATGTTTAGTTTAAGGGAACTCGATACTTATGTAACAGTACCCGTCTGTCACAACTCTATTACCTACCACTGGCACAAACGGGAACAAGTGATTGTATCGTTGTAATGGCAAATTCAGAAAAACATAAGATGCATTGTTCCATTCCTGTATAAAACACCAGGAATCAACTGTAGAAAAAGAAAAAGCGAGATTTGTACTTCTTTGTCACATCTCACCGCCAGCGTCATGGGTCGTGTGCGTGCTTTGTTATTCGCTGCGTTGCTCTGTCTTGTGGTCGTCGGGATAGACGCACAGTTTACAAGTAGGTGATCCTCTACACGGGCTATGAAACTATTTTCTCAATGTAGTTTACATCATGCTTCACGTTTAAAATCATAACTATAGTACAATGTTGCATCAAAATACAGACGTGTATTTTGGCGTTTTTTTAGCCATGTCGTAAAATTGTACAATAAGCACTATTTGTTCTCCGGGGCTTTTTGTGCCCTAATTGTTGGTTGTCTATAGACTAAAGGGTTCCCTCTCTCTCTCTCTCTCTCTCACCATTATTTTAGCTTGTAGAAAACCATGTACATATAAAAAGTAACATATTTAGATCGTTGGGTTGATCGATATAGCAAATAATCATTGGACATGGCATACAAAATAGGCTTTGAATGGCAAGTCCCCTTCAAAGTGTAAATACCTTTGTTTCTGTGTGTGGTTGCCTTGTTGATATAGAACCATCGGATCAGCGCTGTATCCAATGTGTGCAATTAAATGTTACAGGTAAAATCACATTTAGTTCGTTATTTTAGGTGGTCTGTAAAATTTGTCCATACCACATGTAGATACACATCCGCATGCACTAATTCTTTTGGTAAAAGGATATTTTTCCTCGCCTGCGGTGTTCCAACTCCATGCAAACATAGCTAATTCATTGAAATGAATTTAACATTTAACCGCCGCTCGATACCAAATATTTCCCAAACACACGCACACACAGACACACACAAGCACATTATATATATATATATATATATATATATATATATATTAAACTTGAGAGGGGGAAATAAATGAATTGAGTTGATAAATAATAGAAAGTCCACCTTACTGAAATGTGTTCATTTCATTTTTTATAGCTCCTAACAGTTGTACCAGCAGCATATGGTGTTGTAAGTATTTTTAGTAATAACTCTTTTCCCATACGTCTAAAAACTATTTATGTCAAACAATATATTGAATTTAAAGAAAAACAAGTTGCCATATGTAAGATTATGATTATAAAATAACACGTGTTTGATGTTTTTTAGCAATTGTCTCTGGTGGTATTGCTTTCGAAGACGTAAACAAATTTAGGAAACACTGAGGTTTATGATATCCCAGGCAATCGGAATGCATCGCCCTACATGTAACTTGTATGTATTACATCAATGATATCTTAGGCCTCATCTTTTCAGTTGTTTGCCGTATCTTTTTTGGGGGAACTTGCACAACCCAATGCGTTTTTCCGAGTAGCAGGATTGCCATTTTTCGGGGCACCAATAACCAGCTGTCTTGCAATTGCTGCAGAAGGTTTTCCTTTCCTGTCATAGGCTAGGTGAGAACAAAGAGAAACTGTTTTCTATGCGCATGTTCATGTGAACGCAGTGTATACGCAGTGCCTGTATGTGCGCGCTTGTGTGTTATATAAAGTTGATTGTCACAACCGAAATCACCATAATCACTTCTTTAATTAATAATACTTAAGAATACTACGTGTGTTTTATTTTTTTTACTGTAATAGAAAGAACAAAAATACATATAAAGATAGTGTGGTTTCTTTTTCCGTGTATCAAGTATTCACATATTTTACATTCATTTATATTGCTAATCAGTATATGCCTCAAATTTTATAATGTGTAACAAGTGATTTTAATTCATTATGTATATCTTACTTCATGTTTATTAATAGGGGTATTATGCAATTGTAAACCGCGTTTTTAAAGAACTCTTTATTGTTACGTATTTGTGATTAAAAGAGATTTCTATTCATTTATTTTTACTTATTTTAGCACTGTTGAACCGCCATTGAACCATGAACACTGAACGTACAGCCTTTCTCAAAAATTCATCATGTTTTATTACCTTTCAGACAAATCGAAGCAACGAAAAAAGAAGAGCAAGCGTCCAAGTTTATATCATGTTCGGAATAACCAAAATCAAATTCTTCCTTTAGCTACATTTTGAGACTAAATGCTATATTCCGTAGTGGCGATGACAAAGGCACGTTTTCATTGCCACTCTTGTATTTCTTTGGCTGAACTGCCAAATGTATATGGTATATAATGTTACAAAGACAAGAATGACGCCTCCTTTTCTTACCAAAAAAGTTCTAGAAAACTTATATGAAATCCCAACTATTATCCAGTAATGTGAACATCCATACATCAAAGATTGTAATAAATTTTACTTGCTCTTTAAAGTGCATCAATAAATTGCTTTGCAAAACCAAAATATTGCTGTTTGCTTTGTTTTGTTTTTATATTAATAATATCAAAAGAAACATAAATACTTAAAAAATCGAAGTTCGTCTTGAAGACACATCCCAGTTTGAAGGACTTCGTCAAATTTGCTGTAAACTACACTGTTGTCTTCCATGCTTACATTTACCATATTCATGCCCCTCAAATTGAGATGAACAGTCAGATAGATTGGTTTCCACCATGGAAGAATATCTGGATTAAACTCCATGTTTTCTACTGAACACAATGGATGTGACATGAATAGCTCACCTAACACACTCGTTGTCCCGCGGTAAATGGTCTTCTAATCATGATAGAATCTGGGATTGTAAGTAAAAGCCGGCGTGTTTCTCTAAAAACAGGTTTTCCTAAGACGACAAAGTTCACATTACTGACAAATAACATTCAAGAGCTCGTATAACGGAAAGAGTGCTCTTTGCAATATATTAATCCATTTGCGCGTGATCAAAATAATCTTGAATACAATAATAAAGCAGGTCCATACCATCCATGAAATATATCCTGCACTGAAAAGTTAAGGTATCCTACATGGGATTTCCGCCCACAATCTAATTTTCCTTGCGATATAAGCAGTTTTCTTCTACTCATGATTCATTAATCAAAGTTATTGGTTTATGGTTTCTGATTCAACAATTCAGTTCTAAACGAATCGTGATCCCTTTTAGACCGCCATAGTCTTCTTGGCACTTTTAGAAGGAAATAATGACAGCATGACATCATGTAGATACTTTAATTTAATGAGTTTCATCGTTTTTCAATTCTGACGTAGGATTTGCACGATATGTTGACATCAACATGCGCCATTGGCATATCAAACGCATATGATATACCTTAACATTTAATTTCTTAAAGGAAATTAATTGAGACAATTGTCTGCTTTGGTGATACAAATCATTTTAAGGGTGAAGGGGGTAAATGTATGCATTTTACATGTTTATGAATTTATAATATTCAAAAATGTATCGTATCTAACGTTGCACAGAACCGTAAGTGACTGACTCGGGTTATCGGACCAATTACAGAAAAAGCGGTCAACAATATTTTTTACTATGGTTTCGTTTTTTTAATCTGCCTGTCAGCCATTTTCTACGTTTATACACATTTCTAGCTTTCTATCTAACCAACTAATGGCTACGAATGTCCACTACACATGTTAGATAATGGCTCCAATTATTTTTGCTCACTGGATGCTGAAAAAACGAACAGACGAATTGAACCGATACAATATCTTTGCCAGAGCTTAATTTCTGCTGAGGCTGATCGGACTTTGACGTCGTAGCTTTTAATCAGATAATTCCATAACCGCGAGGCTTTTCTTTTGTTCGCTTCCTTTTACGCAGTCCTTTCGTAATCGAATCGCATGTAGGGGTTTTATTGCATGTGACCACCTTTTCCAATATCAACATCTATAGGCAACCTGTATAAGAAGCCACCTTAGAATGATCAATAACTCATTCGTGTCTTTGGTCTCTGAAACACAAACACAGTTATACACGTGTGTCCAGAACTCCGTCCTGTATGTATACAGCACGTTTCTGTGTCCTTTGGACCGTTCTAACCAATGTTCTGAGTGTCATATCCAACAGTCCAGTATCTACCCGTTGGACAACGCAAGCATTAGGTGACAATAATGACGAGGGCGACAAAACTACCTCTGGAAGTCACCCGATAACCGATACCACCTGGTTGGGCGTGTTTGGTGTTCAAGGAACAGATTTGGTGCCGCCTCACGCTGGTTCTGTCGCCGTTCTTGAACTCAAAGTCACCACACCCGTTGGTTCCACCATCCAGAAAAATGGAAGCACACCTGTTACGTCACAGACTGTGGCAAGTTCAAACTTTTTGTCTCCGACCGAAGCAGCAACAATTAACATTACGTCGTCAGACTTGACAATGATGCCCGAGGCTGAAAGAGCGACGAATGCTTTCACAGAGAGTAACTGGGAGCAGAATGGATGGCACGGTAGCGGTAATCCTAATGATAGTGATATTACTTTCAAACTAAATGCTACAGATTTTAACAACAGCTTGAGCGGTCGAAACCAGACAGAATTATACATCGCCATCGATTACGTAGGTTACGTTGTAGTTCCTTTTCTCCTCCTAATTGGTATCCCAGGGAACCTGTTCACAGTGATCATAATGTCAAGTCGTGAGTTTCGGAGGATGTCATCCAGCGTACTTCTGATTGCCCTGTCCTGCTCAGATACCACGCTGATTCTTATGCTGCCGTTCAATAAGACCTTTGCCAAAGATATCCTGGGCGTAGACATACGGTCTCTGTCACAAGTCAACTGTAAAGTATTCTATTACGTGTGGAAAACGGCCAAAATGACTTCCTCTTGGTTCGTTGTATTGTTGACCTGTGAAAGGTAAGTTAAAGATCATATTAGCGAAAAACATATTTTCTATTTGAAGTGCCACAATTATGGTATTTTTCATACTGTTGCAAAGCCGACAAAATGCATTCTACCTGAAGCTTTTGCAGAGCCGATCGGCATTCTCATTCTACTGGTTACTGTCCGGCTGATTTTTTAGTAAAAATGGAGCTACATTCGCCATTTTCTAGTATCACAACAAAGTGACTTTTTGCAATTTTATATGACATCATTAAAGTGTCTGTTATCTCATATTGTTCTGTGGTACCGTTACTCTGATTGCACCCTTTGGAACTAAACTTTAAAAATGCAGTGTAATGATTTTTTTTCCTTTTTGAAATCCTAATTAATTTTGTTATTCTAATCAAGCAATTTAACAAATCATATTTCGATTCATTCAAAGCTTGCCTTTCCTATTTCCTTCAGGAAATGCATCAACAGCAAATATGATGTTCTTCTTACAAATGATTAAATAAATCAAATATGCCCCAACACATTTTGCCTCGAGGCCCAGCAGATTCTAATAAATATGATGAACATCAAAGTGCCAGCACAGAGNGTCTGTAGATGAACCTCCATGTTTTCCACTGAACACAATGGATGTGACATGAATAGCTCACCTAACACACTCGTCCCGCGGTAAGTAGTCTTCTAATCATGATAGAATCTGGGATTGTAAGTAAAAGCCGGCGTGTTTCTCTAAAAACATAGGTTTTCCTAAGACGACAAAGTTCACATTACTGACAAATAACATTCAAGAGCTCGTATTACGGAAAGAGTGCTCTTTGCAATAAATTAATCCATTTGCGCGTGATCAAAATAATCTTGAATACAATAATAAAGCAGGTCCATACCATCCATGAAATATATCCTGCACTGAAAAGTTAAGGTATCCTACACGGGATTTCCGCGCACAATCTAATTTTCCTTGCGATATAAGCAGTTTTCTTCTACTCATGATTCATTAATCAAAGTTATTGGTTTATGGTTTCCGATTCAACAATTCAGTTCTAAACGAATCGTGATCCCTTTTAGACCGCCATAGTCTTCTTGGCACTTTTAGAAGGAAATAATGACAGCATGACATCATGTAGATACTTTAATTTAATGAGTTTCATCGTTTTTCAATTCTGACGTAGGATTTGCACGATATGTTGACATCAACATGCGCCATTGGCATATCAAACGCATATGATATACCTTAACATTTAATTTCTTAAAGGAAATTAATTGAGACAATTGTCTGCTTTGGTGATACAAATCATTTTAAGGGTGAAGGGGGTAAATGTATGCATTTTACATGTTTATGAATTTATAATATTCAAAAATGTATCGTATCTAACGTTGCACAGAACCGTAAGTGACTGACTCGGGTTATCGGACCAATTACAGAGAAAGCGATCAACAATATTATTTATTATGGTATCGTTTTTTAATCTGCCTGTCAGCCATTTTCTACGTTTATACACATTTCTAGCTTTCTATCTAACCAACTAATGGCTACGAATGTCCACTACACATGTTAGATAATGGCTCCAATTATTTTTGCTCACTGGATGCTGGGAAAACGAACAGACGAATTGAACCGATACAATATCTTTGCCAGAGCTTAATTTCTG